ATTCGAGGTTGGAGTAGTTAGCCTTGATGGTCCTGGTCGATGGGGCCCGCGGAGTGCTACCCGTGAGCTCGTCATCGTTCAGGAGCGAAACATCCGTCTGGAAAGTCGACTCGCCGGCTGGCGTGTTTAGCGTCACGTCATCTCGACCGCCGGTGCGAGGCGTGTTGTAGACTCCCGTCAGATCCTCTTGTACCGTCGTTTCTTCGGCGTTTGTGGTTTCGTCTTCGTCGTTCGCGAGCTCTTCGTAACCCGAGAGCGAGACATTGGCTGATGCTTCGAAGAATTGCTTCCAGAACTTGGATGCCTCCCAGACGTTCTTGGAGTGCTCACCGTATGATTCTACGACGGGTAGGATGCTCGTGGTGACGATACGGTGCGCCTTGCTGAAATTGTGGTCGATTTCTAAGCTTGTCAGCGCCGGTTAGCCCTGGGAGGCGGGGTGTCACTACCTTGAAGTGTCAATGTGATCGACTGCTCCAGCTTCTCCAGCTCCTCCGTCAACGTCAGATTTCGGGGTGCCGCGCTTGGTCGTGACATTTTTGGTGGCGAGAAAGTTTCGTGCCTGTTTTTGTTGGCTTCTCGATGTGTGCGCACAGCTTCGTGGTGTTTATTGTTGATGCATGTTGGAACTGGATGCAACCAGGACGCGATGCGGGGCAGCTCTCGGCAGCGCACCAGCAACCGCGGGGCATCTAGGCCCCTGCCCCCTGAACGCTCTAATTGAAGGTTGCTGTCCTGATCAACGTCTAAAATTCACACGACGTACCACATGTATTCATTGTCTGATGATTTTTTCACGTTAATTCTTCGTATATATCAGTATTGCTTGGGTATCTTTAAGAAAAAAAGGAAAAAAAAAGGCACTACGTCTTCGAGTAGTAGTCAAACATGTCCAGCTTCACCAAGAGCTGAGCAAGAGGACTTTCCTCGGTGACGCCATCCCCCGTCACTTCTTCCACTGTTGTGCCGCGTGCAGTCTGGCGACGCGGATTTGCATCTTTCTCTGCCATTCCCCTGCAAACGGTAAGAAAGACCTCGACGTTCTTCCTGAATGTTTGATATAACGAGACGGCACGAGAATTATCTGCGACCGCCCACGTTCCCCCGGCCTGGAGTCGCGCATACTTGGCGAAGCGCAATATGGTTCGGAAGATATCGTCCAGTAATTTCGCTACTGGTTGTTGTCGCTTGCGCAGAAACCACGCATACAGTATCCTCTCAAGGACACGCGAATGATGTTCTCGGAGGCGGTCAGGGCTCAGGACGGTATCCGTTATGTTCTCGGAGGCGGTCAGGGCTCAGGACGGTATCCGTTGTGTCCTCTTCCTGGCGGCTCAGTTGCGCTTCAACCTTGTTCAACTTCTCCTCGAAGTCCTGCCACGGCAGCTCAATGCCAACGTCGAAAAAGTAGCTGCTGACGGTGAAAATGAAGTGGCGGGCCTCGAAACAGAAACGAGTGGAGATGTCGTCCGGGTTCTCCCAACCTGATGCCCTCATTGTGATGTCGCGAAACAGACGGTCCACTGTGTAGAGCATGCGTAGGACGCGAAGCAGCGACTTGAAGATGCGATCGTACTGCACTAGAATGACCGGTGTAATTACCGGGGTCAGGGCAGCGGGAGTCTTATAAGCCAATCGCAAAAAGTCAAGTGCCTCAAGCCCGTCGGGGTCCATACACTTTTCAATCTCCTCGCTCGACAGATCACGGACACCAAAGCTCAGGTCGCCTGGGAGGTGTGCAGACTCAGCAGCGCGTCTAGTCGGCGCTGCGCCCAGTGGCTCGTAGCTCTCGACCAGGATTCCCATCAGGGCAAGACGAAGCTCTGAGCTTGCCGGCGGCCATGTGTCTCTGCCGCTCAACCGTAAGCCCATGACGCCGCCTTGTCGAGCAATACCCGCCTCACGCTCTGCTGTCTCCATGTCAGGGTCGAATAAAGCATGTGATAGCCGACTACAGAATGACCCGCCTCTGCAGAGATGGAAGTCACGCTGGACCTTAAGATGTGCCCTTAAGTTGTGAGCGTTGAACAACAATTTGAGGCTTTCTTTGCCGACAATGCGGGCCTGAGTCGCTATGATGGGGCCAAAAGATAAGACTGGCAGCAGCGACCAGTGTGGCGTGAACTCAAGCCCAAGCGTGTCTTTTGTCCCTGGCTCCTTGGCTTCCAAACAGGCCTTGAGAACCGTGGCCAGCGGGTCCTCTGCTGGAACCGCCTCTTGTAGCTGCGCAAGGTTGTCCATTGAATCGAGAAGCCGGCTTCGCAGCTCTTCCTCGTTTGTGCTGAACATTTGAAGCTGATAGCCCCCAATATTGTTGGTTGGCATGGCAGCCACAGCGTCATCTCGCACTATGCGACTGCGTGATCGAATCTTGATAGCGTTGATCAGAGCATCTTCATAGGAGCGGACTGCTCGATCCACCTGGTAGATGGATTGCCAGTCAAAGTGCCATTTGATCGGAGGGGCTTCGATCGACGCTGCCATCGCGGACAAAAGCGGGTGGCTTGAGTGATTCGACTTGATGAAGCGAAGGTTCCGTCCTGTTTCAAATAGGCTCTGGACGACATCTTTCGGCATGAACGAAGGCATTCTCGCCAAGTCCAGGCGAAAATCCAGTTCCTCAACTTCGTCTCCGAAATCGTCGACGTAGGATTCAGCTTCTACCTTGATGAAACCCTTCTGCCGGCCAGCATCGTGCTTGCTGAGGGGCACCCCGAGCTCTGCATATGTACCGATCCATTCCCCGAGGAACTCCAACCAAGGTCGACCCACGCTCTGGAGGACTTCTCGCATAATCGCTCCAAGGTGGCTATCACTGTATTCAGCAGCTTGGGCTTGCTGGAAGACAAGAGTGAGGACGTCTTCATCGATATGATCGCGCCGAATCTTGGAAATCAGCGATTTGAAATACAAAAGGATTGAAGAGACCCGGCGTATGAGAAACCGCAACTGCAATAACGATCGCGGTTTCTGCCCCGTGACCGACAAGTGACTTTGTATGACGAGAAGAATTCTGTCCAGAGCACTCGCCAACGCCACCCGGCAGGGACTTGGGTTTTTCGCGTATGTGTTATTGACGAATGCACGAAGCTCTCGTGAGCCGTTGCCGCAGTCACGACAGGTGCTGGAGACTCCTTCGAGCACCAGAGCCGAGTACCCCGATATCCTGATCTTGGCAAGAAGTGGCTTGAAGGAGCGAGATTCAGCCTGCCACGCAAAGAAGACGGATTCCCTGCCCAGGGCTAGAGACATCAGGGCGCTGCAGTATGCCTCAGCGTCCACTGTGGCGTGGTCATTGCTCTGAAGTCGAAGGGGATCTTCTTCAACTTCAAGCAGACTATCAAAAGCCCCAGGTCCAGCCTCCGTGATGAAGATGGGTGGCTTGCGCTCATCATCTGGGGTATCGAATGCATCCCATGTCTTATGTTCGGGTGCTTGCCGGGGTGGCTTTTTCAAGTCGAGCCATATATCCTCGTATCCATCGTTTCCGATATCCTCTTGCGTGCTGCGTACTTCTGGCGCCTTTCCCACCTCCGAAAAGGGAGTCTCAACTACAGGCACGGGATCATCATCATTCTTTTGATCGAAAGCGGGGATTGCAATCAATGGTTTGGTTTCGATTGGCTGCAATTGAAATACGGCCGGCGGATCTGTGCTCAAAGATGCGTGTCAGTCGAGTCCTCTTGTAGTAGACGGTATACACACCATCGACATTGTACGTGAAGAACCGTCTGCTCGCCTCGGGTATGCCGTTGTCCAGAAGTTTGGACGCTCGCCAGAAATCAGGGATGGCGAAGACGTTGCCAGCATCGTCCTCATCAGTCATGGTGGAAGGAGCACTCAAATGAACTTCATCTGCGATTCATTTCCTACGAGCTGCATGCTCAAGGTACTTCTACCGGCGGCAAATGAATGTGAGGATACCACTGTCGTGCCGGCCGAATTTTGCTCGGCAGTTTCGCGTGAGGAGGCGTGCGGTACTCCTGGGTGATGCTGCAGTGGCCAGAACCTTGCCCCGCGACGCGCGCTGACGTTCAGAGTCGCGTCAAATCGTTACTTGCTTTAGGGGCCCAGGCGGCTGTTCATTGGCGGGCGCATCGCCAATGAGTGGGCCGGCGATGGACGAAACCGTCGCAAGCCGCCAGAGCTTCAATCTACCCATCTTCATGTCATATCGACCCTGCCGTTTCACAGTCCCTGGCTGCCTCCGCCTTACACCACCTACAGAAGACACGTACGAGCCAGAACCAGCTCACAGGCGTTTTTCTTTACTCTCAACCGTCAGCTCCCATCCCCGGCCTTGACCGCTGAAAATGCCGCCGAAAAAAAGGGCCCGAGGCAGCACCGTCGCAACGCCGACACCAGCTCGAGATGACGATGCAATGGATGTCGATACACCTCAATTTGCCGATACGCCGACAGCACCATCCAAAGAACCTGCCGTCTCGGACGAGGAGTGGCCCAACAACGCCTGGACGGACGATCAAGTCTGCTCCCTGTTCAAAGGTGTCGTCAGATGGAAGCCAGCAGGTAAACTCTTTCCCGCCCAACATCTGCCCCTTACAATTGACTTGTTGCTAACCAGATTCACCATCACAGGCATGCATAAACACTTCCGTATGATTGCAATCAGTGAGCACCTTCGGCACCACGCCATTGATCCAGCGGTCCATACCCATACCCGGATTCCACACATCTGGACGAAGCTGCGCACCTTCTACAACCTGGAGGCGATCGATTTGCGGGAAGACTTTTTCGATTCCCAGGAAGATGAGGACTACGAAGATCGGTTCCGAGAGTTCACGCTACCGGTTGGTGACTTCGAGGAGCACATGATGACACGCGTGCGTGCCCCTAGCGAAGCGCCCTCATCACCCCCCCAATTCGACCCAGAAAACCCTGCAGCCGGAGAGGCCGTGCCGACGCCTACGTCCGCGCCCTCGTCGCCTGAACCAGAGAAGGGCGTCAAAAAACGAAAGCGAGCGTCAACGGCTGCGTCGAAGACTCGGGCGAGCACTGTGGATGATACGGAAGACGAAAAGGACACGGCCTCACCGGCCCCCAAGAACGCAAGGACCTCGAGGAGCCAGAAGAGGGCAGCAGGCAAGGCGAAAGCCCGCAAGGCTGAGTCTACGGAGCCAGAGGAGGATGAGGAGGATGAGGAGGAGGAGGGCGACGAGGAGGAAGAAGATGAAGGGGACGACAGCGGCTCGCAAGAAGGGGAGGAGGAAGAGACGAGTGCCGAAGCCAGCGCTGCCGAGAGCGAGGCACCTTCAAGGTCGACAAGGGGAGGTGGTCGCGGCCGGGGAAGAGGCAGAGGTGGCCGAGGTCGTGGCCGTGGCCGTGGTCGGGGATAAGTTGAGTTGACGATCCTGACTGCTTGCGGACGAATGAAAGACGACGCGATTCGGAGATCAAGCCTGTTCCGCATCACCCACATAGATACCCAGCTTTACCAGTTTACCAACGGAGCGCCGCATGAGTCGGATTGAAACACCTGTGTAGTTTGGGGCCCCTGAACAGATGCTCGCTACAATGGCCCACGTCATGCAAGGGCCGAGCTAACAGAGCCTGTTTATATCCCCAGTCTTTAGTACCGGGATGCCTAGCTTGTGACGCCCTCGCAGTGGACTATTCGGGCGTCCAGAAACTGGCAAAATCGCACGTGATGCTGCTCGACCCTTCCATGGCAAGGTGGCGTCCTTCCATCGAGAACACATGCCTGACTGCTTGGTGCTGGGTGGTGCGATACCGAATGGATTTTGCAAGGGCCATGGGTCGGGCAGGGCTCATAAGTGTTCCATGGCGTTTTGATTTGGATGTGCAGATACCAGCTGCCACAACATCCAAGGCTCTTTGGAAAATCCCGCACAGCTGCCGGCGCCGTGAGGCATGGGGCCACCCACCAGAAGTACTGTATGTGTGTGTGTGTGTGTTGATGTGACGCTTACCGAAAACCCAAAGCCCAAAAGACGCAACGGAACGCCGAGCGCTGAGGGCCGTTGGTAGCAAGGCGGCCGGCACGCGGTCACCAACAAAAGTGCTGGATACAACAAGACCACTCAAGGTTGTTTGGCGGCCTGATGGAAAAAGTGACGTGTCATAAATTGGAGATCTGATGGACAATGGCAGGGTGACCACAGACGGCTGAGGCTCCGACGGAAATCACGGCTACCTAGTCCCAAAGAGAGGGATCCCTGCCAGCCTGTGTGCTTGGAGACCTTGGTCTCGACGTCGCCACGCGCTTCTCTGCAGCTGTGGTTGGTAGGCTTGACGACGGCGTCGGAGGTTGCAGGATCTTCTCTGCGAAGACATGTCATGCCGTATGCCGGAAGGAGGACACAGCTCGAGTTGGCCGATGGTATTGGTTGAGAGAGATGCACAGCGAGTGACTCGCAGCGTTCACGCAGTCTTCACGGAACGTTAGGCGGTTAAAAAAAAAGATACTTGAACAGCCGGACAAGACCGTCAGCCAGCCCCTCGACCAGGGTTCGTGCCGCCGTCCTTGCTCACTGTACATGCAGCTTCGCGGGGGCGTCGCCAAGACAGGGTTGGCTATGTCGACTACCCAAGTGCGTCGTCGTAAAGAGTCAGTCAGGCTAGGTCAAAGCTATCGATGACGTTCTCTCTCAACGACAACATGGCGTGGCAGTCGGTGCCCTTTCCGGGCGAGCCATTCGTTCGTTGATGATTGAATGACATGGACGGGACGATGGCTGGCTGGCTTGTGGCTTGCAGTACAACGCAGTTCTTCAGAACAGTGCTTGGGCCGCAGCCTCTTCAAAATGTCCTCTGAGCTTAATTCGTCGTCATGTTGAACAAGGGGGAGGCTATGCCCAGAACAGTTAAAGATGATTCGATTCGACCGCTGCCGGGGTGGGCTGAGTGCCTCCGATTGTCCCTTGTCCCACGCGTCGCCTCGGGGCCCCCCTCCCCTGCCCCGGAGATGGTGATCCATGCGCTGTTTCTAGCCCCCCGGAGCTTCTGTGAATCGTGCGCTGGGCCTTGCCCTGGCTGCTGCCCTGGCTGCTGCCCTGGCTGCTGCCCTGTCCAGCTGCCTGCCCCCTGCCAGTGTGCCCATTCCGCACCCGGCCAGAGCACTTCAAGCGCTTCACGTAGGTTGGAAGGTACTCAGGCTCACATGGCATGGCATCGGTACCTACCTGCCTTGTCAACCTATGTGCGTTGTATGTCGAGGGAAAGAAGAAAGTAAGAGTCACAGTTCCGAACAGACGTGCACGAACCACATGCGACTCTGCCGGCCTCAGTTCTACGGCTTTCACTTTCCAGTGCCCACGCACTCACTGGGCCACAAGACCCTCGAGCTGGCCCCGCCCGTTCCTCGAATCCCCCCCCCCACCCCCTCAAGAGGTACCCCTACCCTTTCTACCTGCCTGGGTCCCAGCGTGAGCCACCTAGGTAGGTGTACCTGGGTACCTAGGAAAGTAGCGAAGACCACATCAGACGGGACATCGGCCACGGACCTGAGTGCCCAACCGACCCCAACCTGCCTTACTCGGTAAGGGAGGTGCGAAGTAAACCCAACCTGATGAAGTCTTTTCTCTTCCCTCTAGCTCCCGTCTCAGCTTCTCGAGCTGGGTAAAGCTTTGCTCGGGACCTCGAGGTATCCAGGCTTCCTTGTCATTATTGGACGAGCAAAATCTGCCTGCTGACGCCTCGTGCCGTGAGATAATTTCGTGCCTGGTTGCTCCAATGCCCTCGAGAGACCACCAACCCCCAACGCCAATCCCCTACGCATCGGCCGACTTGCACCGTCACATCGCATTGCGCTGTCAGCTGGTCGCCATTCACTCGACCCCCTACTACGGCTGCACTTGCCATCGTCGCCGCAGCAGTCAGGGAGACCCTCCTTCGTCCTGGCGATACCTCACCTTCTGGAAGGCCCGCGCCCCTTCTCTCCCCCCTCCCCTCCCTCGGTACACCAGTACAATGCTGGCAACAGAAGACAGGCGGCATCTCAGACCCGGCACCTCCCCTTCTCACCCGCCCCCGACGCTACTGGCTGCTTGCCCGAACCGCCCCCAAACTCGAGCTCGAACCTGAGCCTGAGCCGGATCTGGAGTCGGCGTCCCTGAGCCTGGCAGACTACCTAGGGCGTCATGGCCTTCCAGACCAACGTCTTCAGGGACGGTGAGTGGCGGACAGAGACGGTTCACATCTCGACCATCTTGCAAAAGTCTGCTGCTACGCCTGTCGCCCCGACCCCAGTCTTGCCTGAAGCACCCGCCTGCGGTATCCTCACGCGCACACTTGTTCAAAGCCCCCTGGTACACTGGATCTTGCCGACTCATCTGCGCTCTGCTCGGTACAACGACGTTGCCTTTGTCGGAGATCATTATGTGCAAATCAACGAGCTAGGCGATGGTGGCGAGCTTCGAGAAGTTCTGCGCAAGGACGACTTTGGTGCCCGCATCCAGAATGCCCACGTCATCGGCAACACCTTCGAGCGCCTGGAGGCTGGAGACAGCGAGGTCGCGTTTGGCCAGCTCAAAGAAGAGGACGACGAAGCACAGATGGATGCCAACCTCGGCCTGCGCCCCAGTCCTTCGTCCCATGCGGCCTTGCCACCGCATCTTCTGCTCCTGGTCCTCGCAAACGGCACTCTCGTCTTTCTCTTCGTCCGACGACTCGGCGAGCGGTTCGAGTTCGTTACGTCCGAGTTCCGCCATCCGGACGCTAGACTCGGTACGCTGGGCTATCATGCTGCCGTTGATCCCAAGTCGAGGTACATTGCGGTGGCAGATATGGAGAACACATTCGTCGTCTACGAGCTTCAATCGTGGGAGACCATGTCACAGCAGTACTCACAACACAGCTCTATTTCCCCCGTCAAGTCATGGAGTCCACGGCCCGTGAACGGCTTGGTTCACAAGATGGAGTTCCTCCACCCACGCCCAGAGGATGATTATCATGTCATTCTGCTCCTCGTCATACTCAAACATGGCGCCTCTGCCCCCAAGATGATTCTCTACGACTGGGAGCGCGGGGATGACGTCCGCCAAATACTTGCCGAGGACAAGGACGGGCACCGATTACCCCGGGAACACAGAATGCCACTATTTCTCATCCCTCTGACCATCCGGAATTCGTTCTTCATCGTATCCGAAAATTCCCTGGCTGTTTGCAAGGATCCCCTCCAGGGACCGCCTCAATACGTGACAGTGGACGCGGGCGCACACCCGAAGACACGCTTTCACTACGGCACGCAACCCCCAATGTGGACGGCGTGGGATCGGCCGGTGAGGAGAAGGGGGTACTATAACAACAAGGACAACATCTATCTTGCTAGGGAAGACGGCGTGATAGTCTTCTTCGAATTCGATACCATCGATCTCCTTGCCACTGGCATGAATGTGGGCAACTGCAACAGCAACATTTCCACCGCCTTCACCACCATGTATGATGCCTTCAGCGATGTAGCCATCATCTCAGGCGATTCTGGCCCAGGCATGGTGTGCCAGGTACTGTCTCTCCCTTTGCGCTACAGTGCACCTTGCTTCTACTAACTGTTCACTAGTTGCGACCAAGAAAGCCAATCGTTGAGCTCGGGACTATTCCCAACTGGTCTCCGACACTCGACTTTGTGACCACTGACCAGTTTACATCTTGGAGGGGCGACTCAAGCCAACGAGGTGCGCAGACGAGTCGTTGGAGCGAACAGTATAGAGAGCAAGCCGCACGACATGACCGAATCTTCTGCGTCTCCGGAACCGGCATACAAGGCAGCATCACAGAGCTGCGCCAAGGGATCTCGGCTAATATTGGCTGGGAGATCGCCTACGACACGGCCATTCGACAAGCCTGGGTTTTTGAGGCTCAGCTGAGTGATATAGGGCCTGGATACTACTTGCTCCTTGCCCTGCCTGACTCTTCCGATATACTTCAGGTCCCGCGAGACTCTCTTGAAGCCAGCCGGCCGAACCCTGGGGGGCCTGACTTCGACATAACCGCACGAACTCTGGCAGCCGCACAGTGTTCTGAGCAAATCATTGCGCAGGTGACGGAGTCTGCCATTTCTCTAATAACACCCTTGCGAAGGTAAGAAAAAGGCTCAGCATGTGACTCTTGTGAGAATACTGACCATCGAGCAAAGTTCTCGACAGGCTTTTTCCTCCTTCGAGGGTGTCCAGGGTAATGCCGAACATGCTACGGTACGGCAAAAGCGCGCTGCGGTCTCAACACACGGCCAAAATCGGTCACTCATCCATGTCTTTTATATCGAAGATCTCCATGCCTCTGTAACGCACACATTTGAAACCGAGGGAGAAGTCACATGCCTCGCTTTCTGTCGTATTGGTAGGCAGGAGTGCATACTTTCTGGTGTCTGGCGCGAGAGCCACCCTTACATGGCTGTGTTTCCCATGGACAACGAGGGCAAAGTAACGCCGTCCTTGACACGACTCGACGCGGGTAAGCAATCGACTCCTCCAAGCGAGAGTATGATCATCTACTGACGTGAGCCCCAAAGATGTAACTGTGGCGACAGGTATCGGTTCCGAGCCGAGCCAGGCATCTGCGCCTACGGGTCCCACAGTCGAACCTATCACAAGCATTGCGCTCGTTGAAGAAGGTGATGCAACCACAAGCATTGCCTTAGGATCCCGAAGTGGGCACCTCATCACCTTGATGCTGAACTGCAACGATCCGTCTCAAACATTCATCTCACGAGAGAGGATTGGTTCCGTGGCACTCCGCGTGGTATCGACAGACAATACTCTATGTCCTGGATCAGTTTTAGCCTGTTGCGATGACAATCTCTTACTCTTGAGCAGCTTTGACACGGCTAGTACGGGAAAATTCCGAAACAGACAGCGAATACTAGCGAACGATGTCAAAGACCCGACTTTAGCTGCGCCACTCATCACCTCGGTGACAAGCATGCAAAACAGTATTGGTCAAACGAACCATATATCCCTACTGTTGCTGGCCAAAGATCGCATCCTCGTCACGGAAATGCTTCCAAAGACAGTGTCGATGCCGAGAAGCCTCCCGTTGCATGGCACACCCACAAGGATTCTCTTCTCGCAGACGCTATCATGTTTGGTGGTCGCGATGAAGGTGGGCCCCGGCCAGACAACGATTGCTTTCGTAGATCCCGATACCGGGGAGAACTTGTCCATGCCGACCGACAAGGATAGCAATCCGCTGCCTTTCATCAACGGCTTGGGTCTTTTGGACGACAGGATTCACGACATGTTCGAGTGGCTCTATGTCAAGGAGGGTAAAACATGGCTCTTCATAGTCATAACGACGAGAGACGGACAGCTGCTGATCATCACCACTCAGAGGGTCGAAGTGGAAGATGCTGACGGTCGAGTGAGCGAGAAGATCCGTCACTGGACTCGGTACAAGAAGAAGGTCGCCGACCAAGCCATCTATGCTGGCGTGGGAGATGGCGCCGATCTATTCTTCTGCGCTGGCAACATTCTCCACTGGGAAGCTCTGGATCTTGTGGAGAAGAAACTGAAACCCAAGAAGACGTTTGCCCTCCCCTCGCCAGCCACGTCTCTGCGAATCGTTAACGATCAGCTATGTGCACTCACGACAAACCACTCTTTGCTTGTGCTCAATCACAAGGCCGAGGGTCGACACGACGAGATGACTTTTGCTCATAGCGACGTAGGAAGTCGCAAGGCCTCGCACTACATTGAGATGGGCAATAGTTGTGAGGAGACGCCTGCCTGGCCCATTACCCTCATCTCTGAACAGACACACGATTTTGTCGGGGTTTGGGTACCATGGAAGGAACCAGAAAAAGAGTTCAGAATTGTGTTCAAGGGGAGATTGCCAGCAGGTGTTCGGAGGCTGCGCCGTGGCCACGTGCGACCGGCATGGATGGCACCAAATATCACGCCTCGTTACGGGCACATACCCAGCACTGTCGATGCGGCGGATGTACTGGCCATTTGCATGGACGGCTCACTTCACCACTTCACCCTGCTCAGCCCTGAGGCATTGGTCGTACTCGAGCTTATTCAAAAGCTCGCTGTACAAGGTCGTTCAGACGACTCACCGACGGCGAGACTGTCACATGCCAATGGCACGGAGCCGTCAGCTATGGCCAAGGCCAGGCGACACGGCCACGTAGACGGCGACGCGTTGCAAAGATGTCTTGACAAGCGGGCCCTGGAGGCGCTCTTGTCCGCTGGCGACGGAGCCGACGTGCTTCTCCGCGATGCTTTGGAGAGCCTCGAGGGAGGGCGTTGGACGGCGTCTTTCGGAGGACAGAGGGAGAAATACGTGGACCTGGCATATGAAATCCTAGAATATTTCCTTGCCCCTGTGTTTTAGTTGCGTGGGTGGGAGCCTGCTTGCTGGCTACATAGAGAGATCCTCAACATCAACAGCTGTTACAACGCACCGAGACCCGTGCCAAGGACTTGTGCAACCGAATCTTAGGGTGTGCGAGAAGTTTCTGCTTAAAGTCGGCGGTGAGCTTCGGCGTGTCAGACACTGATGGTGTCGGCCGCGGTGAGCAGGAGGTTGACGCGTTTGCGTCAAGAGTACATGTACTAATTCGACGCAGTATTTCGTCATCCGGCGCTTTGGCCGAGTGGTTAAGGCGATGCCCTGCTATGAGTTAGTGACCTCGGTCGCTTCCTAGACTAGGCATTGTGTTCGCACGCGCAGGTTCGAATCCTGCAGGCGTCGTTTCTTTTTGGATGGTCCTGCTTTGGTTTGTGCGTATGCTCATTTGCTGTACTGCCTTTTGAACCAGGCCGAAAGAAGGTCGTGTGTGTATCGGCAAGTAGTCAGTCATCTCTGAACTTAGTGAGCAAGGCTATGAAGAATGGTAGGCCAGGCACCTGCTGTGAACCTGGGGCAAAAATGTATGCTCGCAAGAAAGCGAGCGCTATTGACAAAGCAATCTCTAGTTGCTGCCCGCCCTCCGTACTTGATGTGCCGACCTTCAATAAGGAGCATTTCAGGGTAATAGCGGTCGTGGGAATGAATCTTGATGTCCATTGAGTGGCATCCTGTTGCCCCTCTTCCCTGGTCTGTGCTATGAACCCGTCCGGCCTGCTGTACGCTCTACCTTAGTGTGCCCCGCAGTCCCAAATCCAGCCCACCACAACACCCACATCATCACTGGCTGTCCTTGTCGACCGGGCTTTGGAGGCCACCCCTCTCGTCTGTCCGGTTCTTCCAAGGCACCTCAGAATAGCATGTCCCGTCGACTATAGGTCGTAGACAAGATAGTTTAGAGCATTGGCTTTCCCCCGGCCTCTTCCACTTCAACGATGCAAGTGACTGGATGCTACTGACGACATCAGAGACCTAGCTTTCCGGGTCCCTTTTTTTTTGGGCACCCTGTTTCCCAGCACATTCTCTCTGTAAGAACCCCGCACACACCCACACACACACGCACTCCCGCGAGTACAATAAACCATACATATTTTTTCCCTGAGCAACCTTGGCCCACCCCCACCAGGAATTTCGAAACCCTCGCAGCCACCTTCAACCCACCCCGCAACAACCACCTTTTTCCTCCTCCCCCCCCCCCCCTCCCCTGGACTCCAGCAACCGAAACCGCCCAACATGGCGCCGAAGAAAAAGGGAAACAAGAAGGGCGGCGATGACGACTGGGAAGCCGAGCTGGGCGAGTCCATCGTGCCCACCGGCGAGGCCCCCGCCACCGATGCCGCCGCTGCTGGCGACGCCGCTGCCGAGGAGGAGGAGGCCGGCGGCCTGATGGCGACGCTGCGCAAGAACAGGGAGAAGCGCAAGAAGAAGGGCCTCCAGGGACGAAGGAGGAGGCGGCCCGGAGGTCGCCGCCCCCGTCGAGGCCACGGCCGAAGGACGAGTGGGGCGCTGCCCGAGAAAGAAGGGCAAGGGCGGCAAGGGCAAGCAGGCCGACAAGTCTGCGGCGGCGGGCGACGATGCTGGCGACGACGCCGGCAACCCGGTCGTTTTCTTGACCCAGGGCGGGAAGGAGAAGGTTTAAGAAGAGAAGGAGAAAGCACCCCAAGAAGGAGAAGGTGGAGTTACCCATTCACCCCCAGCCCCCTTTTTTCCTTTTGCGACGGGCGGCGGGGTCCCAGTCTTCTTCCCCGGAGGGGACAGGGCCGTGGAAAGCTGGCCCCTGACGTTGGCAGGCTGCGAAAGAAGAAAGGCTTCTGGCGGTGCCCCAAGGGCCCCGGACCCCCCAAGGCTGCTGAGGAAGAAGGACACGTCGGCCGCTGCTGCTGCTGCTGCTGCAGCGCCCGCTGCGCCGACGGCAAGAAGAAGAAGATCCCCGCCCACCTCGCCCTCATCCAGAAGCAGCAGGAGGAGCTGCGCCGCAAGGCCGAGGAGGCTGAGCGCATCAAGGAGGAGGAGAAGCCAGGGCGGAGGAGGATGCCCGCCGCACCGAGGAGGAGATCAAGGCCCGCGAGGAGGCTCGCCTCCTCAAGAAGCAGAGGGAGAAGGAGAAGATCGAGCAGCTCAAGAAGGAGGGCAAATACATGACCAAAGCCCAGAAGGAGGAAAAGGCCCGCAACGAGGGCAAGCTTCAGCAGATGATTGCTGCCGGTATCAAGGTCGGCCCTGCCGATGAGGAGGGCGAGACGGAGAAGAAGAAGCCCGCCGACAGGAAGAAGGGCGGCCGCAAGGCTGCTGAGAAGGTAGGGGCGCTCGCTTCTGCCGATGCTGCTGTACCCGAGAACCAACCCATGTGCTGACGCGACACGTCTAGGTCGACGAGGAGAAGGTGCTCGCCGAGGCTGCCGCCCGTGCGAAGGAGCAGGCTGAGAAGCTCCTCAAGGAGGCCGAGGAGGAGGCCCGCCGAAAGGCCGCAGAGGAGGAGGCCAAGGCGGCCAAGAAGCCCGAGAGCGACGTCGAGGAAGACTGGGAGGCCGCATCTGACTCTGACGACGTCAAGGACAGCTGGGATGCTGACAGCGACGACGAGGCCAAGGCCGACAAGGCGCTTCCCTCGAGGCCAAAGGCAAAGGAAGACGGTTCGGAAGAAGAGGAAGACTCCGAGTCCGAATCCGAGTCGGAAGACGAGGAGGCCACCACGAGGGCCCTACAGGAAGCACAGCGCAAGAGGGAGGCGGCCGAGCGTCGTGAGAAGGCCCACCAGGCGCCCTTCGCCGCCCGGTCCAAGGACAACCTCCGATCGCCCATTTGCTGTAATTCTTCGGTCACGTCGATACCGGAAAGA